GGGTAATTGTAATGATTTCTATGGAGTGTGGCAGCCTTTGCTTGATCATCTGCCTAGTGAGCTTGCCGAGCTATTACACAAAGTTGGGATCACAGCTTGTTTTTAAACATTATGTTTGAATGTTTTTATTTTTTTTCCCCTCGACTTATCATACGGATTATAGGTTTTGACCCTGATGTGTATTTGAAATTTTGTAGAGGTGTTTTGCTGGACATTTCAGATTTTGTATTAGACTTGGCTGTGCTGAATTGTTGTTGTTTGTCTTGTTTCAAAAAGACAATAAAGTATTATTTAAAAAAACAAAAAACAAAGAAAACACAGATTTTTGGTACAACATAATCTTAGAGGCATTAATGCTGATACTGGCACTTACATTTTTTAGTTTATAAACCTAAATATAACGTTAACTAGACTTATTAACTAACTTTACTTTTTAACTTTTCAATTAGCTTTTTACCCTTTTTCTTGACTTGTTCCCCTCTCTAAGAGTGAGAGGAAGGTTGTAGGTGCCACCAGAAGGTACCTAATTTTACTGAGACGTCAGTAATCTAGAGTGGGATCCCTCCCCAGTTATCCAGGTCGGTACCAGAGGATTGGTGTGTATCAGGCAGAGTTAAATTACCTGTACATAATGGGAAAGGTTCTATGGTAGTAGAACAAAAGGCAAGGTTCTGGGGAATTGTCAACTGCCCAAGGAGAAATTTCTGATCAAATGCTAACAGCTTTAAAGATAATTAGAAATCAAATACTGGAAAATTAGCTTAAAAAAAGTCCTCTTCTCCATAAAAAAAAATAAAAATAAAAAAATAAAAATAAAAAAATAAAAAATCTAATAAATAAATGTAATCTAACAAAAACTTTCAACTGTTTTTAATATTATTTTTTTGGTTCTGCATTTTTTATTTTATTTATTTATTTATTTTTTCATTTATTTTTTTTCATACTTGCTTTGATTCTGTTATATCTTCCTGTATTTTAACAATGTTAAGCACTTTGCATTGTCTTTGTACTGAATTGTGCTATACAAATACATTTGCCTTGCCTTGCCTTGCCTTGTTACATTTTTTTTTCAACTTAATTTCCAGTAGGTAATATATCATTCTAGGGCTCATCTAATTGGTCGATGTAGCAGGATCTTTGCTGAATGGCTGGATATAGATCAGAGGTGGTGGTGGTGGGGGTGGTGGAGGCTTAATTTGTAAGTGGTATATAAGCGATCAAAGGGTACCTTGCCCTATAAAGGGGGGTTAGGTAGGATGACCTCAGAGGGGAGGAGCCATTGAGTAATAGGTGAGAGTGAACAGACCAAACAGATTCCATCCTGTTTTCTCAGAAACACCATGTCACCTACAGGCAGCATGAAGCTCCCCCTTCAGCAGCGTAAAGTTCACTCAGCATCTACATGACTGTTTTTTTTTCCTCCATAAAAACCATCAGTTCTGTCCAGATTAAATGCTCTGAGTAAAGAGAAAAGCTGCATTCCCATGCAGGAGTGTCCGACTCACCAGTCGATTAAATAAATATCGGGGGTCAAGTTGTTTTTCTTGAAATGTGCAAAGAGCTTTGGTAGGTTTTCTTCAAAGAACACTTCAAACGCTGCAAAGTACGTCAACATCTGCAAAGAGGAGAGAAAGAGAAAGGAGGCCTTAGTGGGAAGGGTCACCATTACTGTGCTTCTACAGAGATCCAGCTAGTGATTATCAGACGGTGTGTTTTTACTAACAAGGCTGTGGTCGACTCGGAAGAAGGCCATCTGACAGGGCTTGTTGAGCAGGTTGGCGAAAGCTATGAAAGCGTCGGCCGTGTCCAGATTGAGGATCAGCACGGCGGCGATGAAGGACATCCCCTGAACCTGATGGAGAAAACAAAGCGGCAGGTTTTATTAAACCGAGGGGCTGCTGTGATCAGAGTAAACAACAACCTGCAGGAGGTTAGATGTTTGTGCAGAGCTGGGTTGGGGTCAGCGCAGGAAGTCACACTCATTTCTCTAAAAGTGTATGAACAGAGGTGTGTGGCTGTGGTAATAAAGCGCAGAGGAAACGACGCGTCTCCAGGCTGCAGAGCGATTCAAAGAACGCTCGGCGATCAGAGGCCGACGACAAAAACTTTTCCCTCACTGCATTTTCAGTCCAGCTCTCCTTAAATCAGGGAGTCTGCACTGGAAAATGATCTAGAAATAAGGAAAAATGTCTTAAATTAAGTGTATTTACCCCTAATTTGGGTAGATAAAAAAGATCTGCCAATGGAATCAGTATTTTTACTCTTATAATAAGACATATTAAGATAAAATTCACTTGAAATAAGACAATGCAATTATTTTTTATGGAAATTGTCTTGTTCCAATGGCAAAATGTCTCTTTTACCTTCTCAATTCAAGAGCAAATGCACTTAAAAAAATTTTTTATCCCAGTGTGAGAGCTTTGATAGCTTTAAGATAATTAATTAAGACAATTTATTCAATCATGAGATCTCTGGCTTGAATAAAAGAAAGAAAATCAAAAGTGAAAATGATTCAATGATTAGATTTTTTTGTTTTTCACTAAAAGAAAAATCACTCCTTTACTAAATATACAAAAAAAAAATTTTTTTTTTTTTTGGAAATCAATGTTTGAAAAGCAGCAAAATAAGCCGTCAAACTTTTTCGTCCCCATCTGCAGCTTTACACTCATATCAGATATTGACTCTTCACCTTCTTTACAAACGGACCCACTCAGCTTCTCCTAACCTCCCACTCAGGGCGAAAATAAACGTGAGAAGATGATTTCACTCCGACCGCAATCGAGCAGCTTAATAATAGAAAGCCTGGGTGTTCTGATGCGGGGTTATATTTACCCTTCCTGCTGTGTTCAACACCAAATGTTTTAACATTGAGAACAAAAGCACCACTGATGCCAACATCATGGTTTATTGAAATGTTGAAAAAAAGAACCACAAACAAGCAGACGGCCATTTAAAGTCATCAATAATATTATTCATTACTTCTGTTTAAACCATGTGTGTCTGTAAATGAGATTAGAAATAAAACAAATGCAAAGACTGGTTTCTTTTTAAAGCAACAAAAATTTATTGTGATAAAAAAAGAAAAATCGCAAGATTTTTTATCAACATTCTTAAAAGTTTATGAATATAGAGTTTTAATCACATTTGAGAGATTTTTATAAACTTAATTGACCAATTTGTTACAGGCTAATTCAGGTGTTTCTAAACTCTAAACCTTTGCAAACTATAAGAAAATCTTAAATAAGCAAATTATGGAAAATATTGCTTCAACTTTTTCCAAATTTAAATATTATTATTTATTCAACACACAAAAAAATAACTATATCTTATTACAAATACAAATATATATATTTTTTTACATTTTTCCTCCACTTTTCCAGACCCCTCTAGCAGTGTTTAGTCCTGTTTCTCTCCTAGACATTGCTATAGGCTGAGCTTTCACTGGAATTACCTGAATTTGCCCTCTTTCATCCCTTTTGGCTCAGAGCTTATCCGTTTATCCATTTCTTTCTCAGACAGAGGCACCTATGGAGCCAGTTTACCATTACCTTTACTAACATAGAAAGCATTTATCAGAGGTCTCATGTAACGAAGTACAAATACTTTGTTATTGTACATAAGTACACTTTTTAGCTATCTATACTTTACTTCAATACTTATTATATTTTCACACAAGTATCTATATTTTCTATTCCTTACATTTTAAAACAAAAGTTACTTTTTACTCTGGGCTCCGGTTTAATGTTTTATTGTTTTTTTTCTTGAGTTTTTACGGCACTAGTGGCACATTTTTTCAACAGTAGGTTGACAAGAAAGTGGGTATGAGAGAGGGTGAGAGACATGCGGCAAAAGATCACAGGTCAGATTCAAATCCAGGTCGGCCACGTCTAGGACTAAGGCCTCCATACGTGGGTCGTGGGCACTAACCTGTGCCCCACCTGCACGGCCCAGGTTTAATGTTTATAAATATTTATTTCCCATCATGTGCGCCATCCAATGCAGATCATTGGCGCAATCCAAATCTAATGAAAACTAGTGTGATTGGATGAGTCATATAATGCAAACACTCATTGGTTAGCTAAAGGAAATCATCAGAAGCAAGCAGGTTTTCTTCAAACTGCTAACGTGAATTGTCTATGCCATGCTGCAATGTTGGATTCAGAAAAAGATGTTGAAATGTCTGAAAGGTCGGACACAGGCGAGAACATATCGGGAGATGGAGACCAACAAGACCTCCCTCATCCTTGGCCCTATCTCTAAGAATGTTTCTAAATAGTCGAAAAATTGAGCTTTAAATTCATATAGTGGCATCTGGCTGTTTTTTTTAAACGTTACTTTGTACTTTTATACTTTAAGTAGTTTTTGAAGCACATACTTTTTCACTTTTACTTGAGTAAAGGGGTCAAGTTGATACTTCAACTTTTACCAGAGCGTTTTTAAACCGCAGTATCTATACTTCTATTTGAAGGAATAGTACACCCAAAACATGATTAGCCTTCATTTTCTACTCACCCCCATGCTGAACAACACTCTGGAGTACTTTTTTGATATCTCAAATGCATCTGGAGATCTGGGAGGCTTCTTGCTGTCTGCTGACATTCAAATAATGGAGGTCTATGGCGCCCGAGGCAGAAAGGTCCACAAAAGTCCACAAAAAACGTGTCAATATTCCTCCATACTGCTCGTCCAATGTATTCCAAGTGTCCTGAGTGGGTAGCATCCAGAATTTACTCGAAACGAAGTCATTTAGAATGTTTTTAGAGCATAAACAGTAGTGTATAGGATTTCCTAAAAGCGCGTTCACGACGCTACGGAAACCGCGGCAGACCAAACCAGATGAAAGTGCGCATTCAGCTCGGCAAAGAACTCATGCTCTTCCTCAACACTGAAGTCCTCAGACATTTTTCTTTCGTTGTTTCTTTCTTTGCACAGGTAAACAGCACATTTCTTCTTCTACGCTTGCATTATCGGCAGAGCAGACGCTGAATGCGCACTTTCATCTGGTTTGGTCTGCCGGCTTCCGTAGCGTCATGAACTCGCAGGCGCGAGCTTTCAGGAAATCCTATACACTACTGTTTATGCTCTAAAAACATTCTAAATGACTTCGTTTCGAGTAAATTCTGGAGGCTACCCACTCAGGACACTTGGAATACATTGGACGAGCAGTATGGAGGAATATTGACACGTTTTTTGTGGACTTTTATGGACCTTTCTGCCTCGGGCGCCATAGACCTCCATTATTTGAATGTCAGCAGACAGCAAGAAGCCTCCCAGATCTCCAGATGCATTTGAGATATCAAAAAAGTACTCCAGAGTGTTGTTCAGCATGGGGGTGAGTAGAAAATGAAGGCTAATCATGTTTTGGGTGTACTATTCCTTTAAGTAACAAAAGTGTGTACCTTTGACACCACTGGTATTTATAGATCAGTGCTTCCATTTTGACTTTGTCTGCTTCCATTTCCTTAAACCCTGATCTGCTTCTACAGAAGACGGCTCTCACTGAGCATGGTTCTGCTGGAGGTTTCTTCCTGTTAAATGGTTTTTTTCTCCTCCACTGTCGCTATATGCATGCTCAGTATGAGGGATTGTTGAAGAGTCAACGACACATTGCTGGCAAATATTTAGTCCTGCGCCTCTACCAGGACGTCCTGACCTAAATATCTAAATCTTTAACTCACCTGACTGGATGATCTGATGGAATTGTCTCTTTAATGAGCCTTAAGATGACAAGTGTTGTGAATTGGCACTATACATAAATAAACTGAATTGAATTATGATTGACTATGTTTTCTATCTACAATTTAAAAATCTATTTTCCAGAGGTAGTTATGGTACCAATATAGTTTCTTTTTTACATAAATTTGAATAAATAATAATCATGAAGATCTTATTATTAGGTCCTAATATTTCTATAGTTCTGCTGCTATAGGCTTATACCGCTGGAAGACATGGGGAACCCTTTTTCATCATTTTGCTTCATTCTATCTCTATTCTCCCATTAAACAGTTTTTTAGTTCAATCTCTAACGTTCTGCTCTCTCTGTGTTTTCTCATAGTAGCTTCATCTGGTCTGTGACTCCATCCTGGAGAGAAATATCAGCAGTGCTGCTGACATAAACCTATTTTCATAGATGTTGGAGCTAGGCCTGTTTTTCAGTAAGTAATGTATTTATAACTGGATGGGCTCTCTTTATCCTCCATGTGTTTTCTGGGAGGGTTGCCGTTTGTATCTTTGCTTCTTTCTGTATCTGTGCTTCTGTCTCCTTGAACCCCAGTCGGCCTCAGCAGACGGCCGCTCACACCGAGGCTGGTTCTGCTGGAGGGTTTCTTCCTGTTAAAAGTTTTCCTCTCCACTATCGCTACGAGCATGGTTGATGTGAGGGATTGCCTTTGAGTCAACGAGTCGACGCAAGCGGTTGGCTTTCCTTTGAAATCTTTGAATCAATCTGACTGTATGATCTGGTTGAATTGTCTCTGCAAAGTGCCTTGAGATGACCTGTGAATTGGCACTTTGTTAATAAACTGAATTGAAATGAATGAAGATCAGGTTCCTCTACTCCATCATATACCACCACTGTCCAGGTTTATTATTTTCTGAACATCTGAGATGGAGTTTTACTAAAAAAACATGATCAACTTCACCCTAATTGTGTTTCATCTTGACAATGAGACACATGAGGAAAAAGTATATCAGTTCTACGTCTCTATAGACGGAAAGCCACCAGGATCAGGGTGAAACACAGGAAGTGTTAGGAGGGACTTACATAGCCAACGTCGGGTCGGTAACACGTGTACGCTCCCAAAATGCTGTGCAGCACGTCATAATAGGGCCCGCCCTGCAGAACAACAACAACAAAGCCTAAAAGAATGCATTCATGTTCCTCCACCTCATCAGCAGCTTCCATTATTCTAAATCAGGTCCAGCTGGACTGCAGGAGGGAATGAGTAAGCTGTGTGTTCAGAGAACCTGGTTCAGCTACTGACCTGCTGGAAGATGCACAGTTGGGGAAATGTTCTGGAGATGTCCAGCTTGATCAACTCCAGACTGGACTCACGGTCAGAAGAATCAATAACATCTTGAGAAAAAAAAAAAAAAAATCCCTTCATGCAAGATGGAAGTAAAAAACTTTGCCATTTATAGGTTGTGTTTGGTCTCTACCTTCAGTTTCAGTGCTGGGAGCTGCTGTCCTCCCCCACTTCTCTTTGGCCCGGGCCAGACAGATGTTATAGAGATCTACAGGAAGAGCAGAAGAAAACGCTGGATATGAAAGAAGATGAGAGACAGACTGAGCATGGAGGGATGAAGGCAACACAGCTACTTTGAAACCATGCCCTCCATGTCACAAGCTGCTGATCCCACTGCGACCTCTTGCTGCCCTCTAGTGGTCATAAAGAGGTAATGAATTCACTGAGACGTTGAATTTCATTCTTCAAACATCAGCAGATTTATGTTCCTGCAGAAATAAAAGCTAAAAACGACCAGCAAACGTCAGAATTTGTCCACTGAAAGGAGATTACAGCCAAATGCAGCCATTTAAGGGTGACCTTCAATCAGGAAGTGTGTAATGATTAAACTTTGTGATAATGTAGGTTTTACATTCAACTTAAACTTTATGATCTTTCTTCTCATCTTAGCTGTGG